CCATGAGATATTCTCTGTTTGGGACTATGTGTACATCATCTATTTTTTTCCTTTACATTTATCTTTTTATTACGCGTCATTAGAAACCACTTGGGCTGCTATTTCTGTGGCGCCACATATCTGAGTGTATGGAGAGAATGTGTGCTTTAACACCCTACGAGTGGATTCAGTTCAAAACCAGCCTCTTGCGAGAATGTTTGTACGAGGGTGAGTCAAATGAAAACCGTAAAAACTTTTTTAATTTCAATTTATTTAATGAAAGCGGTACACAACTATTTCATTTTTCTACATAGTGTCCATTTTGTTCAATACAGGCTCTCCAGTATTTACAAAGTGTATGGATTCCTCTAGGAAAATATTCTTGTGGTTGTCTTTGCAACCACTCGTGCACCGCCTGCTGTACCTCTTCATCAGAATGGAACTTCTTTCCTCCCATTACCTCTTTGAGTGGCCCAAACATGTGGTAATCACTTGGGGCTAGGTCTGCTGAGTATGGCGGATGTGGAAGACACTTATAGTGCAAGTCTTGGATTGTTGCAACTGTTGCAAAGATAGTATGGGGCTGAGCATTGTCGTGTTGCAAAAGCCCACGTCGCTTTGGTCTGACTGCAGGTCGAAGATGATTCTTCAAGGGATCTGAATATGAGGCACTGGTGATAGTGTTCCCCCGAGGCGTGTAGTGCTCCAAGAGTACGCCTAGTTCGTCACAAAAGAGAGTCAATATCTTTCCTGCAGATGGCTGTGTCCAGAACTTCTACTGCTTTGGTGATGAGGAATGACACCATTCCTTGTTCGTTCTCTTTGTTTCCGGTTGGTGGTAGTGCACCCAAGTTTCGTCGCCAGTAACGATTCTCTAAAGGAAGCCACCACCTTCTGCTTCAAGGCTTCTCAGCATTTCTTCACAGGCGTTGTAATGCCGTGGCGACAGGGGGGCGTGAAAGTATCCTCCGCTGCCGCCACTGTAACGCCGCTGCGCAGGGGGGGGGCGTGGAGTCAGCCTCCTCTGCCACCACGGTTATGCTGCAAGTGGCGGGGCGTGGAGTTATCTCTCCTTACCTCCACTTGTTTAGGCTGTAACGCTGCCATCACTGTTCCGTCGTGACGACAGGGGCGTGCAATTACCCGTCCTTGCCACCCCCAGCTTGCTCTGTAATGATTTAACTCCATACTCCTAGCTTACCCTTGAGCTAGGATTCTCCTCTTCGGGGTTTCCTTTTCTGTAAATGCTGCCACCATCTATTCTCTGCTCTTTCAATTGTTGGTACTACTCCCTGACAAATAGTCCTAGCCCCCTTCTCGACACTTCCCATATCGTTTACAGGCAGACTCGGTTACATTATTAATACACTTTATTACTACATCTTAAAAGGGCGTGCTATTAAGGCTACCAAACTCTGCCGG